TGTCTATAGTATCCTCAGCACTCTCCTCTAGCACCACATCTCAAATGAATTAATTTTCTTCTTTTCTGCTTTCTTCACTGTCCATCTCCCACATCCATACATAGTAATAGGGAAAACAATGGCTTGGACGATTCTAACTTTAGTGGTCAGTTGTATATCTTCATTCCTTGGGATCTTGTCTAGTTCTTTCATGACTGCTCTTCCCATTCCTAGTCTTCTTATTTCTTGACTGCAGTCTCCATTCTGATTAATGTTTGATCCAAGGAACAGGAAATCTTTAACTATTTTGATTTCTTCATTGTCTAGGTTGAATTTAACTATTTTGATTTTTTTCATTGTCTAGGTAGATTCTCCGTGGTCATTATTTTTGTTTTCTTTATGTTTCCAGCAAGCCTGGTGTTGCACTTCCTTCCTTGACCTTCCTTAGCTGTTGTTCCAAGTCTGATGTTTTCTGCTAGTAGAATGGTGACATCTACATATTTTAGATTGTTCATGTGCTTTTCTCCTATCTTCACTCCTCCTCCCTCTGAGTCTAAGCCTGCTCTTCATATGATATTTTCTGTATACAAATTGAACAGGTAGGGAGATAGAATGCATCCTTGCCTGACTCCTTTGCTAATGGCTAAAAGGAACCTCATCTGTTATTGCAAATGATTACTCTGTTCAGGAATCAGGCAATTACACCAGGAATCTTCTGCCTTAGTTCAGGACAAAGGGATGGTTCACACATGTATATTGACCACTCTATAATGTCACCATTGCATATAGTAATGCTCAAGGAATTCATTCAGACTGCATTTTTAAGCTCACCAGTTTGATATTCACTTCCAAAATGAATGCATTATCCTTCAGTTTACACAGTTCTTTGAATTTGGAAGTAAAGTTTTAGCCTACAAAACTGTTCATTTTAGGATAAAATGTATTTTAAAGGTAAATATAGATTTTCTTGTATGTGCATGTGCATGTGTGTTTAATTTTTTAAAATTTTCAGTTGGTGTGGAAACAGAATGGAATAGACCTACAAAGAAGTGTATGCAAAACTGTCATGTATCAGAAACAGGATGATCTGGTATGTGTGAATGTGTCATCTCAGATGAAGCTCTAGTGACTGAACTTTACAGTCACCCTGAAGACAGTGTTTTCTGGTGGAGTCAATTCAGTGGTGAATCATCAACAATGAGTAATCCAAGGCTGTAGATGCATGTGTACACTGTATTCCTCTTGCCCCAGTTACATATTCTTGCCATGCCTCCTTGGATTTTCATTCTACTCATTCTTTGTGCTTATTTTAGTTCTTCAAGCTTTTGCCTCTCCTTTGATGAGGCTGCCTTATACTAGGCTAGATTATTTGTTAATCTACTCCAGTTTTCTCTACACTGGCAACTCCTCAGGGTCTCCGGCAGAACTCTTTCCCATCACCAGCTCCTTGCTGCTTCAAACTAGAGTTGCAGGATATTGAACCTGGGATCTTCTGCATGCAAAACACACACACTACCTCTTGAGTTACAACTTCTTACCATGTCTACTTCCTCTTTTCCTTAAGGTAAAGGTAGTCCCTTGACATGATGTCTAGGGGCAGTTTTGAACTGCTAGGTTGGCAGAAGCTGGGACTAGTGACAGGAGCTCATCCCATCATGCAGCACTCGGGCCTTGAACTGCCAACCTTCCAATCTTCCAGTTGGCATCTTAACCACATCCCTCCATTTACTTGTCTACTTGTCCTTACCACCTGCTTTTAAGGGAAATGGATTTCCCCTCAACAACAATGGGTTGTCCTAAACTACTCCTGTTGTAATACAAAGTATTTTGGCATGCCTTACACTTGAATGACCAATACTCATTAACTGTATGAAAGATCTGTATGTTAAAGGAACTGTTCCAATGAAGGCCCTCACTTCAAAATTAACTACTATATTACTGTAACTCACATTCCATGTAATATTCCAACTCTGTTTTTGTCTTAACTATCCAACCAATCAAAAGATATTTTGATATTCAAAAACATCTAATAGTATAATGGTTTCTAGTGCAGGTACCTTCCATGGTATATGATACATTTCTTTATCCAAAGGAAACGTACAGATCAGTCTAAACCATATATACTTGTTTTCAGTAGGGTTTATTTCTTGGTAAATTTGCTTAGTATTTAACCCAAAGGAGAGAAAGTCACAATGTATCTTGAATCTTATAAAAAGACAAGACCTGTAATTGGAACAGGCTGCTATGTCTAGTTGTTACTATAATGTTGCTTTTTAAAAATTATTTTAAGGATGGTTCATAGTTTTGTTCTCTTTCCTTTTTCTCTGCATGCACCCATATTTATGCCAATGATCCTATGGGGAAGCGTATTGCACTTAAATAAGTTCACAATACATTTTGCAGTGATTTCCATCACAGGGGAGATACCAGAAAGTACTGCCGCAGTTGTGGAAATTGCTGCAAATATGAATCTGTGTAACTGATGGCTCACAAAATCCTTTGGTCATGAATTATGACACATTTAGATCCAAAGATAATTGCAGAGAAAATGACTGTAAAAAGTGTTTCCTTCCCAAACTTTTTTTACATACTTGATGTCTGTGGAATCCAAGTCTATAACAGTAAAAAGCTGGAGAAGAGCATTATCTGTCACCTCCTTGCCCATGCAAGAATAGAAAAGTATTTTTTAAAAAAAAGGAAAAAGAAAGAAAACATTTTTCAGAAGCCACATAAGCCTAACATTAGATTGGAACAAGCCTCTTTCTTATGGGGTAATCCTATGCATAGTCACTCAGAAGTCTGGTTGAAATCATTGGGACTTAACCCACACACAAGTAAGCAAGGACTGAATCCCTAATTATAAATCACTTTTCAAAATTTACTGAAAAGCAAATCCCACTATTTTAAATTTTAAAAAGTCAGTATAAGAAACATTTAAGTGATTATTGGCAAAGATTCCGAAGATCAAACTAGAAGGGAAAATGAATGAAAATCATTGTTTCACATGCTTTTGTATTTGAAAAGGGGGAAAACTCACAGTGTATTACTAAGAGCATTCTGTGCAAGAAGAGAAACAGCCTTACCATGCAGTGCATCAGGAGGAGAAAATCGCTAAGCATGCTGCAGAGATTAAGCTCAGCGTGGCATCATCCAGGTTCCCTTTGGAATGCATGAAGAAGATTGTCCAACTCATCCTTCCCTGCCAAGTGGTTAAGTTTTCTCTCGGCTTGAATTTTTCACCAGGAATCAGAGCCTGAAAGTGCATTGTACTTTTTTCATTGGGAGGGGGTCTTTCCTCCACTTAAGTTTCAGCTCCGCAATGCCATTTTCGATCAGCTCACAGAAGTTCTTCATTCCCAAATATGTGCTGTCATTGGAAAGACTCCAAAGGGAAAGGGGGAGAAGAGAGAGGTAGCAAGAGGAAGAAAAAGACAAAAGAAGTGGCTTAGCAAAGCTCTGAAATGGTCATCCAGAAAAGGAAAGATCTGTCTCATACTCTGTTGCAATATATATATATATATATTGCAATATATATATATATAAAGAAACCCACCAAACAATTTTATATGCAGAGAGATAATTGTTTTGCATTGAAGAAACTTTCACAATTTCCATTCAATATCTATTTTGTAAGTACAGCTTAATTTTTACATCTTGACAGAAGATGGGGGCAAAGCAGAAGCAAGAAACTCCATCTGATCACCATTCCTAATATATAGGAGAAATTCCTGTCTCTCCTTGGGAAAGCAGTTGGGATGAGAAAGGAACACAGTCAGTTATTTGACCAAATCCTTTTGTGTGTGTGGGAGGGTATGAATACAAAAGGGAAATGATCTCAAGAACTTTCTGTGGTCCAGAAAAAGGGATGGAGAGATGGGAGCAGGCAGGGGAAGGAGTTGCTGAAGTCTGTGGGATCGCTAAGTTGCCCTACCATCTCACTGCTAGGAACTTGGGCTTTCCCTTGCTCTTTCTGCAGAGCATATTAATTGTTTCTGGTTGCTGAGCAACTAACTCTGGGGAGCCACACCAATGCTTTCTCTGCCACAGTGGAAACAGCACTGAAGAGAAGTGGAGCTGGAGAAGGAATGAGAGCTCTTCCTTTCCCTCTGTTGTTCTTGTGTGCCTTCAAGTTGTTTCTGACTTATGGTGACCCTAAGGCAAACCTATCATGGGGTTTCTTGACAAGAGTTGTTCAGAGGAGGTTTGCCTTTGCCTTCCCCCGAGGCTGAGAGCATGTGACTTGCTTATGGTCACCTAATAGGTTTCATGGATAAGTGGGGAATGAAACCCTGATCTCTAGAGTTGCAGTCCAACATTCAAAACTCTAGGCCACACTGGCTTTCTTCTTTCTATCACCCTTTAGTGCACACTTGTTTCAGTTCTCCACAGTCCATCCTCATTTCTCAGTCATTCTCTCCAGCTACCCAGAGGTGGCAAGAGGCTTCCATATCAGTGTTGCAAGGAACCTGTTCTGGGTTTCTTCCCAGAGCTCAGGAGCTGGACAAAACCCCAAAAGTCCCAAACCCATCATTGTAATGGGTGTGTGGGGTGTGTCTCTGGGGAGGTATAGTTTGCATATTGCAAGGACACAGGGTAGGTTGCAGTGGGCACCTCCGTGCATTTTAAGCACTAAAATAACATATCCCACACCCTTCTTTAGCTCACCCTAGCACCTGTGAATGCTGACTTATATGGGAGAAACTCAAATATACCCTCTGTGCATATTTTGGTACACATATTTATGTTCAATTATCATTATTTATTTATTTTGTAGCTCCCTTTCTCATAGTATGGGACCCAAGGCAGGTTACAATATAGATTAAATATAATTAAAAACAAGTATATGTTGTTGTTGTTGTTGTTGTGTGCCCTTGAGTCATTTCCGACTTATGGTGACTCTAAGGTGAGCCTATCACAGGATTTTCTTGGCAAGTTTCTTCAGTGTGTTTGACATTGCCATCCTCTGAGGCTGAGAGGGTGTGACTTACCCAAGGTCACCCAGGGGGTTTCCATAGCTGAGCAGGGATTTGAACCCTGGTCTCCCAATGTCCTAGTCTGACATTCAAACCACAACACCACACTGGCTCTCCAAAAGTATATAGCTGAAGTATATAGTTGATGTATATAAGTATATTGTTCAACAAAGAGTTGAACAAGTATATAGTTGAAGTCAATTTAATAGTAAAAAAAGTCACACTAATAAAATGACTTGTTCTTACTGTGTGCCTTCAAGCCATTTCCAATTCATGACAATACTAAGGCAAACCTATCATGGGGTTTTCTTGGCACAATTCATTCAGAGGGGCTTTGCCTTTGCCTTTGCTGAGAGACTTGCCCAAGGTCACCCACTGGGTTTCCATGACCAAGCTGGGATCTGAATCTTGGTCTCCCAGAATCCTCATCCAACACTCAAACCACTATGCCACATTGACACTAAACTGAAAACCAAATGCAAAGCATTAACAACTACACTATAGTTGATCGTAGCCAAAAGGCCAAGAAGCGATAAGCATTAAAAACATAACAGATACATAATAAATAAATAAAAAGTACCGTATTCCCCCATTTATAAACTCTCCAGAAGAACTAGCTGTCAAAGGCCTGTCTAAATAGAAAGGGCTTTGCCTGCCAGTGGAAGGCCTTGTATGTATTTTTCCTTAGGTATACAGTTTTCCTCATCCTCCCCCCATTGACTAAATAGTATTTGTGCTCATTTACCAAAGGCAGACATTTCTTTAAAAAAGGCATGCACACTTTGCAAATTCGTGCATGGTTTTTCTTCATCAAGATGCATAATACACCTTGAAAATGTACAGTGTTCCATGGCAAGATATGCTTTAAGCTGTCACCAGTCCCAAGAGGTGCAAAACAGATATTGCTCAGGGGAATGTAACTCCAATTAAGTTCTTTTCCATCACTACTGGGAGCAGGCAGAATAGATGCCTGTAAAGCAATGGGCCCCAACAGAGACCTGAGACCTTAAAGTCTTAAATCCCACATAACACCAGTTCTAGTTTTTAAGTACTAGTTCCTAAATACTAATACTGATTGATATGAAGTAATGATGAAGATAATGTGCTTCTGAAAGTAGGAAGAATATCTTTCTTACCATGGAGTGAATGAGACTGTCCTAAATATCTGAGTAATTAGGAATAGGCCAGGTGCTGTAACTTGCCTCCCTCCTACACAGGCCTGGACCCTAGCAACTCTCTTTTTGAAAACAAAATGGGTATTAAAGTCTTGTAGCAAATGCCTGGTCCACCATGAAGCAGCTGCCTCAGGCTGGAATCCTAGTGGTGGAGTACACCCAAGTAATCTTATACTAGCATATGGACTTTGCTCAATCATTACAGAAGGGGGTATACAGTATATCGGTATTACCTTTCCTGTATAATCTCAGTTTGACAGCTCTGCACAACATGGCATAGCTAGATACGCAGTGGTGTTTTCTAACAAGAATGTTGGCAGAAATGCCAACATTCTGCCAACACTTCAACAGGATTTGGTCACTACAGGTTATTTGGAGCATCATGAAAGATATTCAGCTTACTATTGTATTATCATTGTCAGGGACAGGGAGGCGCTTATGGGATTTCCTACTTTTCTATAGTTTTTGCAGATTACATCTTAATGAAAATTTGGATCCATGGGTGCAGCTTTAGAAATTATTATTATTATTTAAATAGAAGCGTCATCTCCCCTGCCAGGAACTAATAGCTGATGGTTCCCAGCCTCCACACACCACATTCCAAAACTCCCTCTACCATTCATGTGGTCTTGCCTTATGTAACATCTTCCCTCTTGCCTTTGTCCCTTAAGGACCATAGTTAGAATCATAAATCAAAGCATTGGAAGAGATCCAAAGGGCCATCCAGCTCAAGCCCCTGCCATGCAGGAATAGCACTCCCAACAAATGACTATCCAGCCTTTATTTAAAAGCTTCCAAAGAAGGACACTCAAGCATCACATCCCACTGTCAAACAGCTCTTACTGTCAGAAAGCTCTTCCTAATCTTTAGGCAGAATCTCTTTTCC